GGATTCTAGCACTTGGCTTAATTTTTGAGCTTTCTTTTGAACTCATGTTCATTGATAAGTTAGAATTTCTTGGGTTGTAATTTGGATCATAGATTTAGATTATGGATTACCCAATTTCACCTTTTTGTCCCATAAATATGTTCTTTTGTATTTTGTGAGTGAAATGAGAGCATCATTTTAGAAGTAAAAGATCGAAAATCACAAAACACGAAAATCACGAGTTAAATGTATAATATTTGTTGAGTAACACATAAATCCAGACAGTAGTTTATAGACATTTTTGATTGAGCAAAACAAAACTGTGAAAAGCAATGTCCCATGCATTCAAAGCTAATTTTTTTTCTTTTCTTTCCTCAAATGCATATGATTAAGTCCCTTTTCAGAAATTTCAGGTAAAACTCTTCAGTGTTGAGAAAGGAGTGATTTCAGCTTCGATGATCAAAGTATCATGCACAAGAAAGCCTTTGGAAGAATCTTCAAGATCATCCAGCGGCAAGAAGGCTGACCAACCCCAGATTAGAGTTGAATGACAGTGTCGGGCCTGTGCAATAATAAAAACCTGCTCAACTAAAGTTAATTTTTATAAATAGTGGTAAGGAAGGTCAAATCCACAGGGACTGGGTGTAACTGTTTCTTTTCAAATTCACAGTAACAAAGAGGGTGTTTTTGTGTAAAATGTGACAATCAAAGAAATTCAAATAAAATCTAAGAAACTACTAAAAATTAAATAACAAATTACTAAAATCAAATGGGTGATAATTAAGGATCTAGCCAAGAAATAATTTCAGCAATGGTTCACCTAATTGATCATCGATGCAAAGCCAATTCCAATTATTTACCAATAAATAGATTATAACTGTCAAACAAGCAAAATAGTCAACCCCTCCTTACTGTGTCGGTGATTAAAGTACGGCCGTTAATCACTACTCTAATTGAGAAATAATCCTAGTTACGCCCATAAGATTTAATTCCCCAATTGCCTTACGTATTAGAGGAGTTCTATTCTAACCAAATAACGCACTACCAGGGTTATTTTAGGTTAGCCCACGTATTTTCCTAACACAAATCCAATCATGCCAATTGTCACTATTTCAAGGCAATTAAACAATTACGGATTTAATGCCCCAATTGACAATAGACTACCTAATTAACTAATTATCCGGATACAAGAAAATCAATTAATTGAACAATCGTAAGCGTTGTAATCAAAGAATATGCGAATACCAATCAATAAAAGAAAAAGATAAAATTAAATTGATCTCACAATTTTTTGCCGAACCAAAACCTCCGTTGTTCCTTGACTAGAAAAAGGGGATTTAGTTCATCCTGAATGAAAAGAACCCACGCGAGAATTCAGAAATACTATTCACAGACATTGTCTCATATCAAGCAGAGTTAATTCGCTGGGAAGTCAAAGGAAAAAAGCAACGCTACGAAAAGTGATCAATTGCCTTCCCTTTTTCTTCCATACGAAGAAGAAAAACTATTTAAAAGCAAAAAGGAAAAGTCCAAAAACTAAAGGAGTGCTAATCCTCTGCAACTTCTAGTTCCTATCTAATGCATACTACTTCCGTGCGGCGGCTCCAATCCATAGGCCCACGAAGATTGCCCAAGCTTGCTTTTTTTTTTTTTTTCTTTTGCTATCCTCAGCCAAATTATCAAAAAGGACTTGTGTCTCCTTGTTCCAAAAATGCCCCTGAATGCCTTCCATTTGAATTCTTTCCCGATGACTGTCAAATTGGCCTTGGTTGTAGTATTTTCGTTCTACTCCCTAAAGTAAATGTAAATTACGAAAAGTGAGTAGAATCTAATAATTAATCCACATCAGGTCAGGTAATAGGGGAAATTAATAATAAAATAAATGATAAAATTGTAACCTATCAATTCCCCCTATACTTAAATCATGCTTGTGCTCAAGTATGAGAACAGCAAACAAACACCAATATTTGATAACGGCTATTGCTCTATCTACCATATTGCCAAGATACCAAGGAAAAAATATATATCAAGTATCAGTGATCAAAATTCGAGAAACATCACTCCGGTTAGTTTCTAAATTACAAACTCCTTCAATTCCAAGTTAACTAATCTAAGAAAAAGGAATGACGCACAACATTTATCAGCAAATGATCCAAATATTAACCAAAATCTCCACATTAAATTCATAAATTGGTAAGCTGACTTCTATCACACACTAACACAACCTACACTTTTTTTTCACGTTTTCTATTATGTATTTCCCCCCCCTTATTTTTTAAGATAGCACAAAAGATTTAGTCTCTAACCATTGGAGTCTTTTGACACGAACTCCGATATTTTTCAGATGAAGGAGCCCGGTTACTCAGTTCCTATCACTATGCGACCATGTACTCATAGAAATTACTAATTTTTGACGCGAGAATCAACACTTTTGGTAAAGATCCCAAGTTACTCAGGAGTAACAACTAGTGGAGTACAGTCAATCTTATTCACAGCCAAATAACATAATAGCTCAAAATAACACTGCAAAAACAAGAAGAATAGCAGCAGCTAGCCTCATCTTGTCAAGTATGGAGAACTAAAGTTAATAATTGGATCAATTCATATGAAAAATACCAACAATCATTCCCTATGCCTAGAAAAGTTAACCAAAAATTATAAGAGTCAAACAATCACCGATATTCACCAAAGAGATGTTCTCGGACTCAATCACATCCACTTGATACACTTTCGTTATTAAAACTTGGCAATAGCAGAAACAGAGACAATAATCCAACATCAAACTTGGCAGTCATAGGAGAGCTAAACAGATAAATGACAAAAAGTAAACGAAAACTAGACAAATAACAAACTAAAAATAAAAGAAAAATATCTGAAAACTAAAAACTAGAAAAACTAACACCATAACCGCTCCTCCACACCTAAATCTTACATTGTCCTCAATGGAGGTAATAAAGTAATTAAAGCGAAGAGAACAATGAAACTTCCATGTCGAATGGCTAAGGGATAGGAGAATAGTGGAGTAAAACCGATGTGATGGAAGTATGCGGCCAAGTTCTGAGACATCTCAACTCAATTCAACCAGCAAATGCAAAACTCTGTCCACCCAAAATCTCAACAAATTCTCCAATTGGACAAGAACAACTCAGTCACAAATGTCCAGCGGTCAATTAGGTAGCCAATCACAGAGGAGTAATAAATTATATGCAAACTACCACAACCAATACCACTGGAGCACGCACAGGTAATCAACAAATCAACCAGTCAATCCATACTACTGAGAAATCCCGACCAACACCAAACAATACCAGCATTTAGAGGAAATCAAAATGGCAATCAATTTGCACATAACTCCCAAATAATTCCCAAATAACAGATGGCAAATCAAACAAATCAACCCTATCAGTGCAGTACAGGGCAACCAAGTAAGAAAAGGGCAACAACAATTAACGAACGATATTTTAGAAATTGATGACCCAGAGGATTAATTAACTGTAGGAAAAATACAATACCTCCACGTGTCAAAATTAGACAGATGGTGAGAGTTGGTGGAGCGTGGTTGACGCCACGCGTGAGGGAGATAGAGGGCTGGCAGTGCATGGTGGTGGCCGTCCGTGGGCTACGAGTAGCGGTCGCGGCGTGGTGCGAGAGCAAGGGAACGAGGAAGGGTGGCAGCGCGCGCTCGTGAGCTGGCTACGACGAGGAACTCGACTGCGTGCGAGGGAAAAGAGAGGCGAATGCATGGAGCAGCGTACAACGATGGCGGCCTGGAGTGCAACGAGCAGTGCGCGAGAGAGTGGGGCTACGGCTGTGCGCGTCGTCGAGGGTGCGGTGGAGAGGGAGAGCGAGAGAGGAAGAGAAAGGCGCACGAGGCTAGAGAGGAGAGGAGTGCGGCGGCAGTTGCTTGTGGATTTCAGCCAAGAGAAAGTGAAACAAGGGAGAAGAAGGAAAGAAAAGAGAAAGAAAGAAAAAGAAAAAGAAATAGTTTTTTTTTTAATTTAAAATTTTTTATTTTTTTGTTATATTATTAACAAAATTATTTTTGAAATTCAAAATTAGAAATTAACGGGAAATCAAAAATTTTTCTCGAGTTTTGAATATTTACCTTTCCTGCGAACGTGACGCGGGCACGTCATGAAGGTACGAAATGAAGAGCTTTCTAGGTGACTTGATGCGGGCACGTCATGAGGGTCAGAACCCTTCTGACGATGAGCTCTCCGGATGACTTGACGCGGGCATGTCAAGGGGATCGAAACCCTTTTCACTAAGCACCAGGAAGTCGCAATGTGCCACGCGCCCAGTTGGCGCGGGCGTATCATGTCAGTTAGATATCTACGAATCATCAAAAACGAAAATTGAAATCAGAAATCAGTAAAACTCAAGGAAAACATATTTAAACTATCAAACAAAATCGAACAAATAACTAAAAGAAATTGGGTTGTCTCCGAATGAGCGCATTTTTTTAACGTTTTTGGCTAGACATTGTCATGTTTATTCAGGGAGGATAAAATCTTGTGGCTCGTTTTAATGCTTCATCCTCTATATAGTCCTGATAACCCTCATAAATAGAGTAATTCTTGAACACACGAGCTACAGTCTTTTATGGACTAGTAAATGGCGCCAAACAAGTCAACAATAATTTGAATTCTCCATTTACTCCTCCCTCACATGTATTTATTGGTCCAAGATATCTTGTCATCGCCACTCTTAATTTATTCCTGTCATGAAATTCAAGATTTTCTGGTATAATAAAGTCAATTTCATTAACAGGAATTGAAGAATAAGAGTCAGAAGAATATTGATTGAGGAATGGAGGAGATGTCACCGTATTTAGAGGTTGTTCACTGGATTCATTCACTTGGACGAGTTGATATTGGGGGCTCATTTTTTGCACGTCAACTTCCTTTTCAACTGCATCTTTAGATCCGTTTTCTTGAAACTCTTGCAGTTCCATGTCATTTGGCCAGATAATTGCACTCTCATCTTCCTCAAGGTTAATGTTGGTCTGTGAGGGCAATTCTTCACACATGTGAGAAGCTAATTGCATTATCCTGGATGTCAATAGATACATTTGATCCGCCATCCCGGATGTCAATAGTTGCACTTGATTCGCCATCGCTTATGTCTCCTGTTGAAATCGATATGTATTAGCAGTTAGTAATTCAATCATTTCTTCAAGAGACATACCTGACATGGATGATGGTTGTTGAGACTCTTGCTGTTGAAAAGCAAAACAAAACTGTGAAAAGCAATGTCCCATGCAATCAAGCTATTTTTTTTTCTTTTCTTTCCTCAAATGCATATGATTAAGTCCCTTTTCAGAAATTTCAGGTAAAACTCTTTAGTGTTGAGAGAGGAGTGATTTCAGCTTCGATGATCAAAGTATTATGCACAAGAAAGCCTTTGGAAGAATCTTCAAGATCATCCAGTGGCAAGAAGGCTGACCAACCCCAGATTAGAGTTGAATGACAGGTGTCGGGCCTGTGCAATAATAAAAACCTGCTCAACTAAAGTTAATTTTTATAAATAGTGGTAAGCAGGGTCAAATCCACAGGGACTGGATATAACTGTTTCTTTTCAAATTCACAGTAACAAAGAGGGTGTTTTTGTGTAAAAGGTGACAATCAAAGAAATTCAAATAAAATCTAAGAAACTACTAAAAATTAAATAACAAAATCCATTAGCCCGATCGCATAATTAAAATTCGAATTATCCTACCATCCTTGATCATACCTGTTTCAGTAAGGGTCATACTACATTTGAAATCAAGGTGAAAATCTCCAAAAGTATCAATTGGAGCACTTATGATGTCTTGAAATGCGGGGCATATGTCGATTGAATAACCTGAAACAAAATAAGTTCCACAATTTGCAACAGCCAATTGATCATTAGGAAAAACACAAGTTTTATGACTCCATTCAGGAATAAAGTCCAATCTATTATCAAAATATGGAATGTTAGCAGCCATAAACTATATAAAAAAATAAATAAAAAAATGAAAACAAGATGAACTCAAAAAGAAACAAATAACTAGCGCCAGTTCCCGGCAACGGCGCCAAAAATTGACAGGTGTCGATCCTGTGCAATAATAAAAACTTGCTCAACTAAAGTTAATTTTTGTAAATAGTGGTAAGCAGGATCGAATCCACAGGGATTGGGTGAAACTGTTTCTTTTAAATTCGCAGTAACAAAGGGGGTGTTTTTGTGCACAAGGTGACAATAAAAGAAATTCAAATAAAATCTAAGAAACTACTAAAAATTAAATAACAAATTACTAAAATCAAATGGGTGATAATTAAGGATCTAGCTAATAAATAACTTCAACAATGGTTCACCTAATTGATCATCGATGCAAAGGTAATTTCAATTATTTACCAATAAATAAGTTATAACTGCCAAACAAGCGATGACAATCAACCCCTCCTTACTGTGTCGGTGATTAAAGTACGCCCGTTAATCATTAGTCTAATTGAGAAATAATCCTAAGTACGCTCATAAGATTTAATTCCCCAATTGTCTTACATATTAGAGGAGCCATATTTTAATCAAATAAAGCACTACCAGGGTTATTTAGGTTAACCCACGTATTCATCTGACACAAATCCAATCATGCCAGTTGTCACTATTTCAAGGTAATTAAACAATTACGAATTTAATGCCCCAATTGACAATAGACTACCCAATTAACTAATTATTCGGATCTAAGAAAATCAATTAATTGAACAATCGTAAGCGCTGTAATCAAAGAATATGCGAATACCAATAAATAAAAGGAAAAGATAAAATTAAATCGATCTCACAATTTTTGAGCAAACCAAAGCCTCCACTGTTCCCTGACTAGAAAAAGGGGATTTAGTTCATCCCGAATGAAAAGAACCCACGCGAGAATTCAGAAATACTATTCACGGACATTGTCTCCTATCAAGCAAAGTTAATTCGCTGGGAAGTCAAAGGAAAAAGGCAACACTACGGAAAGTGATCAATTGCCTTCCCTTTTTCTTCCATATGAAGAAGAAAAACTATTTAAAAGCAAAAAGGAAAAGTTCAAAAACTAAAGGAGTGCTAATCCTCTGCAACTTCTAGTTCGTATCTAATGCATACTACTTCCGTGCGGCGGCTCCAATCCGTAGGCCCACGAAGATTGCCCAAGCTTGTTTTCTTTTTTTTTTTTCTTTTGCTGTCCTCGGCCAAATTACCAAAAAGGACTTGTGTCTCTTTGTTCCAAAAATTCCCCTGAATGCCTTCCATTTGAATTCTTTCCCGATGACTGTCAAATTGGCTTGGGTTGTGGTATTTTCGTTCTACTCCATGAAATAAATGCAAATTACGAAAAGTGAGTAGAATCTAATAATTAATCCACATCAGGTCAGGTAATAGGGAATATTAATAATAAAATAAATGATAAAATTGTAACCTATTATTGAAGCGGAGAAAAATTGATTACCTGCAAAGTAACACTTTTTCAAAACCAGGCGACTATGAAAATAATTCAAAAAAAAAAGAAATATCAGAATCTGTATCTTCAAGAATGCTGATTGCTAAGTTGACCTGTAAACTTCTTGTGCTCCTTATCCTTTTGATTCTCTATGCTTAGTGTGAATTTTGCGTGCACTCTTGCTGCAGTTTTCATGTCTGCTAATGTTAGAAAAATTGAAAGATTTCTACGCCCCTCCTGCGTACAGTCTCCCTTGGGATAAAGCAATAATTTCCTGAAATCAACAAAAGTATGAAGCTACATAAGCCTAAGCTGGAAATTAAACCAAATGGCAATTATGTAAGACTAGATTGGGAAACAGAAAAATGGAGTGCATACCATTTGTAGCTCCCCATGGTGAACTCATCAGAAGAATACGTTGCATTACTCAAAGCAGAAAAAGCATTTACTTTCCATGTGCAAGGAATGCTATCAATTTTCTCAGGAAATGCTAGACATTCTCCTCTACCGGTGCAACGATTGGCAAAAATCTCCACACCAAACATACATTTATCTTGAATAAGGTACCCTTTTTTAGAGTCGTTAAAAACATTTTGCGACAACAACCGAGCAATTCCCCATTCTTTGTTCATTTCATTGAATCGTCTCACCTTTTCACTAGCATCTAAATGTAAGAAAAGAGTAGATGTTGTTAACGGAGCAAGGGGATGTATGGCTAATTTTGCTAAATAAATAAAAGCGAAAAAGAAATAGTAACAGAAAATGGAAAACATTATGTTGATTTGTCAAAGCCGCAAGCTTTGACTTTGTGGCATAATTTTTCATTTCCTTCGTCCCACATCGACGAAAGGCTAAGGAAACCTTTCATTTGCTTCCTATAAATAGGGGGGTTTATGAAGGTTTTAACTTGCACCACTCAAGAGAGCATTATATGGGTTATTAGATTCTTGGGTCATTTAACCCATTTATAATCAAATATTTTAGGCTCTTTTGTTTTGAATTTAGGAATATTTCTTAAATATTTTGTAAGTGCCTTATTAGCCTAGGAATCACTTTTCTACGATTTTTGTATTTTCTTCTTCATAGTAGAGATATTACTCCTCCCTCGCTCGTGGATGTAAGTCAATTTGACCGAACCATGTAAATTTTGATGTCTTTTATTTTGCTTTGTTATTTGTCTTTATTGGGTTGCCGCAACCCTTTTATATGGTCGGTTTTACCGCTTAATTATTATATGGCTGGTGTCTACCGCCTATCCATTATATGGTCGGTTATATCACCTATTTTGTTCTAACTTTAGTTTGTTTATTCTTGGGCCAGTCCTAACAAACTGGTATCAGAGTTGGTTGATACATTTTGTAAAACAGGTTCATCTCGTAGAACCCGTTCATCCCGTGGGGTTCGCTCATCTCATGGGGTCTGCTCACCCTATGGGACCCGCTCACCTTGTAGGGCTTGCTTACTTTGTGGGGCCCGCTCATCCCGTAGGGCCCACTCACGAGATTTTCATATCCGTTTGATCAGTTTTTGAGACAAACTTTAGGTTACAGATTTTGTGACAACAATGACGATAACAAAGTTGTTTGTCGAGAAATTCAACAGGAATGTCAATTTCGGCATGTGGCAACTCAAGATGGAGGCCATTTTGGTTCAAGACGGAGTTGACCTAGCGATACACGGAATCGAGAAAAAGTCAGAGGATGTGACAGATACAAATTTTACTGAGATGGATAAGAAGACAAGGTTCAGTATTATCTTAAATCTCTCTGACGAGGTTTTGCGGGAGGTAGCCACTGAGACTTTGGCAAAGGCCATGTGGGACAAACTTAAGGCCTTGTATATGAAGAAGGCAGTTGAGAATCGGCTATATTTGAAGCAGAGCATGTATATGTTTCGGATGTCTGAAGGTACATCTATATTCTCCTCTCTTGATAAATTTGATTCCATTATTATGGATTTGGAGAATATAGATTCGAAAATTGATGATGAAGATCAGGATCTATTACTTTTGTGTTCCCTTCCCCAATCCTTTAAGTATTTTCGTGATACTATGATTTATGAAAAGGAAATAATTTCGTATCAAAAAATTAAATCAGCATTAAAATCTAAAAAGTAAATAGATAGGGATATTACTGGGAAGACTAGTGGAAGTCAAGCCGATGGCTTATTTGTTCGGGGTAGATCTGAAAAGAAAAACACAGAAAATAGAAATAGATCCAAGTCCAGACATAAAAATGTGGTGTGCAACTATTGTAAAACGAAGGGTCATGTTATCTTTGATTGCTTTAAATTGAAAAATAAAAAAAAGCAAAAAGGGAAATTTTTTGAGAAAAATACTGAATCCGCTGAAACTAGTATAGCAGCTGATGAGAATGATGGAACCATTTTCTGTGCAACAGAAAATAATTTTAGATCTAATAATGAGTGGATTTTAGATTAGGGTTGTTCATATCATATGTGTCCCAATAGGGACTGGTTTTCAACATATGAATCAACTGAAGGTGCAGTTGTTTTAATAGGTAACAACGCCGTTTGTAAAGTTGTTGGCAAAGGCACAATCCGGATTAAAATGTACGATGGTATTGTAATGACGCTCACAAATATTAGACATGTTCCAGATTTGAAGAAAAATCTCATCTCTTTGAGTACTCTTGAGTCTATTGGATCATTACAAGAATTTTGGTCATCAGTGATAACTACTTTTCGTCACAAATAATCAAAAAGTCGTCACTGATGACCATTATTGACAACATTTCAGTTGTCGCAAGGTCATCACTGAATCTCCGTCGGTAAAAGTATACAGTGACGACTTTAAAGTCGTCAGTAAATAGAACCTTTTTTATGACAATCTATGTCGTCAGTAAAAGATGAAATTATACAGTGACGACCTTAGAGTCATCAGTGAATGAAACTTTTAATGACAACATATGTCATCAATAAAAGTTATAAATCTAGTGACAACACCTTCTCTTGTCAGTGATGCAAGTGATGCATGAAGGGACGATAGTGAGGGCATAGGGGAATTAGTGACGACTTTGTTGTCAATAAACCCCTGATCAACTGTGACAACATTCCCTTATCAATAGACAGTTTTGATTGAGTGACAATAACAATTGTCAATAAAGACATCTTGCCTAGAAAAATACTACTCATTTACAACACCTTACACATGACTTTCCTACTACAATAATATCTAAAAAATGAAAATATCAGCAATGTTTAATAAATAACAAATGTAGGCACCGTTACAATAGAATATGCCAAAATAATATATTAAATATTCAAATATCATAAATAAGTGCAACATCATAGTACAAATAGTTTCATAAGTTTGAGTAGAACAAATACTACTCATACAAGTCAAGGCTGCACTAAAAAACATATTCCAAGTCCCAAAACATTTCCCACGCTTCTGAAACATTTTCTAAACTTAAGACAGCACTATAACCACAGTTTTTGAGCCGACATGTAAGCCGTACTGCTAATCTTCTTCGAAACCTCCAAAATGAGCAATATATCTGCAATAAAGTAGTAAAGTTATTAGTAAAGTTATCAGGTGACAAAAGCAAAACAGTCTCTAATTGCTAAATAAACAACAAAAGTAACAAGCATTCACTAATATGATACCACCGTAATGAATGCAGCAATTGCAGCAGAAATAGAGTGATAAGGGGGAGAGAAACTAGACTTGAGGAAGAAGAAAGAGAGATATTATTCAAAATGATTTTTTCATGTTGCCCAATCCAGATTTCTGCATTCTTATACAGCTCAAGAATAACAAAATAACTACTTGATTGTTGACTCAGCACAACAGTCTAACTAACAAGGAAGATTCCCTTTAACTACTTGAAGGAAATACATTTCGCATGTACTAAACTGGTATTCTTCAAGTGAAATACTATACTAGAAATACATTAATTCTTCAAGTTGAAACTGACAATCCACTGCAGAGAGACCAAACAGTACTATACTGGTATTAAAGGCTAGACGGACACAAATTAATGGAAGGGGAGAAGATGGAGAAGGGGAGAGTATGTGTAACAGGTGAGCAAGGAGGACTAGGTAGGTAGGTGGCAGTTCTTCTCATGGCTAGTAAGACATAACAAAATTGTTTACCCCAATGAAGAAAAAGCAATCTTTAGAACTGAAATCTGTAGAGCTGAATCGGATTCCACCCTGCATGCCATCCGGAGGATTGTAAATGGATTGATGGTCTGTGGGAAAAAAAAAATTAGTGCACAGGAGTGTGTGTAGGAGGAAAGAGTTGGTGGATTGGATTGATGATCCGAATTTGATTGCTGAAGACATCGGTGGGGTAGAAAAATCTTGTTTCTGCAAATTTTGCCTGGATGTCAAGAAATGATATGTTTTTGCTGCAATGGATGGAAACAGGGAAAAACTGGGAGCTGTGATAATTGCAGGCCTTATCTACTACACAAGATGCCTTGGTTGACTACCAAAGAACGAGGAGTGTTAACGGTTGTAAAGAGGAGGTTTGTCACAAATGAAGACCAATTTTGGCATCAGCAATGTTTCTTTAATCTGTCAAAATACTGTCAAAGATGAATAAATCTTCTGTTTTGTTCGTCCATCACTACTATACTACCACTCTGCTATACAAGAGGAATATTCCTTTTAGAATAGTCACGTAATCAAATCAGTAATCTTACAATACAAGTCAGCGATTGATAAAATGTTCACGTAATCAAATGCAGTATTCTCCCAACCCAACACAAGTCAGAGATTGATTAAATTGTTCACTTAACACTTGGGACTGTATATCTTGTTCCGTCAAAAGTTTTTAGCTAACTCATTGGCCATGAAAAGTTTTTAGCTAACTCATTGGCCAAATGACAATGATAATCTTTTCTATTCTTTAGCCCTTCTGTGCTCCTCAAATTAATATCATGAAACAGAAACACTATTGAAGCTTTTTTTTGTGTAATGTTATTGTTTCATGATAACAAAGCTATGATAAAGCCACAAATGTACTCCCAGGATCAAAACACCATCTGATTAGAACCTTGTGTTGACAGAAGTAATTCTTAAATGTCCCTCCTCAGCTATTAGTAAATTTAAACATGTCACAACTACACATTTGGTTCATAAATACAAAAAGGAAACTAACTGTCAAACATGTCACAAATACATGAAGGTTATCTAATTTTCAAATTTGTTAAGTATAATACTATAATGTGAGCTTCACAATATGACCACTTTGCTTTATTCCAAAAAAAAAGTGATGATAATAAATGGATAGGAACAAAACCATTCGAAATGGGACTCAAATCAATATTCAACATTAATTGCTTCACATTTTCCACAAGTCAACATCCCATTTTTTTTAATCTGGATTTGCTTTGAAAGCAAATTGATACACAAATCCAAGATAAAAATAAGAAGAAAACGAGTGAAATATTTCCTCAATAAGGACAGTCTTCATCCAGCATTTGCTGTGATTGAGTTATTATGGGCCATAGTAGCACCATCAAAACTATAAGTTCTTTAGAAAACCATTAAACTTTCCTATTTCATCCTAAAGTTCATGAAAAATCTATCCACAAATCAAATGAAAACATACCAAGGAAAAATAATATGTCAAAAGGATAAAAATGATTAATCTTTTCAATCT